CGCCCCAGCTCCCAGTATAACCAGAAGCTCTTCGGGGGAGACATGGAGAAGTTTATCCAGGTACTGGCTCCGGCTCACGCTCCAGCCACGCGCAGGCCCTGCCCTGCCTTTTGGCTTCCCTCCGGCCCATGACCCCAGTGGCCTCCATTGTCGACTAGCGGTCGACCGACCCCTCCTGCACCGGCGTCTGTCAGGCCTGCCCTGACTGCAGGGAACGTCCTTCACTTAGCACCGGGCGTCTACCGAGGGGCACCCGTGGGGCCCAGTGGGTGAAGCGCTGCCTTCGGCTCGGGTCACGGTCTCGGGGTCCTAGGATCGGGGCCCACATCGGACTCCCTGCTCGGTGGGGAGTTTGCTTCCCCCCCTCCCGGCCTCCCGCTCGCGCGTGCGCACTTTCCCCCTCTCTCTCTCACAAATAAGCAAATACAACACTTAAAAACAAATTAAAAAAAAAACAACCCAGGCCTCGACAGAAAGCCTCAGGCAGGAGCGCATGAGGAGGAAGCCCAGGAGGGAGGAGGAAGGAGCTCGTGAGGAGGAAGCTCTGGCTGGCGCGCTTCTGGGGGTCGTAGGCCGCAAAGCGAGGGAAGGGAGAAGGCTCTGAAAAGAAGAAAGAGCGGGAGCGTTTTTGCGATGTGCTCACGCGCTGCGGGTGGTTCGTTTAAGAGTTTGGCAATGTCTGTGGACTCGAGGTTGGTTGGCGCGAGTCTCACAAACCACGTGGCAGGCCGCATTGCCAATAACCATCGTGGCTTATTCGGAGAAGATACAAGGGAGCCAGTGACAAGGAGGGACCGTGAAGTGAGTCCCCTCTCTGTCCCCAGAGCTCAGGCCAGCCCGTGCCCCTGGTGGTGGAGAGCTGTGTCCGCTTCATCAACCTGAATGGTAAGTAAGACCCGGGCCTCCCTGCTGCCCGCCCAGCACCCGACCCCCCAGGCGCTGGGGAGGGGACCCAGCGGGCACCCACCGGCTCTCCTCCTCCCCCAGGGCTGCAGCACGAGGGCATCTTCCGGGTGTCAGGTGCCCAGCCCCGGGTCTCAGAGATCCGTGATGCTTTCGAGAGAGGTAGGGGACCGGCCGGACGGGGTAGGGGCGGGCGGAGGGGCGACAGCCGGAGCTGGTGCGATCGGCCTCCTATGCCCTGCGTCACCCCTAGGGGAGGACCCACTGGTGGAAGGCTGCACACCCCATGACCTGGACGCAGTGGCAGGGGTCTTGAAGCTCTACTTCAGGAGCCTGGACCCCCCACTCTTCCCTCCGGACCTGTTCGGAGAGCTGCTGGCTTCAGCAGGTGAGGCCTGGGCGTGAGGCATCCTGGCGGTGGAGGGGGGCACTGCCCTGTGGCCAGGGCCTCACTCCCGCGCTTCTCTCCGCCGGGGGCGGCCCGGGCCACAGAGCTGGAGGCTGTGGCCGAGCGGGTGGAACACGTGGGCCGCCTCCTGACCCAGCTGCCCGCGCCGGTGCTGGTCGTTCTGCGCTACCTCTTCACCTTCCTCAACCAGTGAGTGTGCTCTGGGGGACCAGGAGGACTGTGGGGGGCGCAGGGCACAGCCGGCGGGGCGCTCACTGCCTGTGACCCACGTGTGCCCCCAGCCTGGCGCAGTACAGCGACGAGAACATGATGGACCCCTACAACCTGGCCGTGTGCTTCGGGCCGACGCTGCTGCCCGTGCCCGCCGGGCAGGACCCAGTAGCCTTGCAGGGTCGCGTGAACCAGCTGGTGCAGACCCTCATCGTGCAGCCATCGCGGGTTTTCCCGCCCGTGGCCGTGCTGCCGGGCCCGACCTATGAGAAGTGCATGGCCCCGCCCTCCTCCAGCTGTCTGGGGTATGCTCTCTGTGTGTGGGGCCTGGGGGGGCCGTGCAGCAGAGGGGAGCCCCCTCATCCACGCAAATGCCTCGCTCTGACCTCAGGGATGCCCAGCTGGAGGGCTTGGCTGGGGAGAACGAGCCAGAGCTGGAAGCCGGGACCACGGCCCAGGAGGATGGTGAGGAGCGGGGAGGAGGAGGTGCCGATTCCTGACTGCCCTGGGTGTGCCCTTCACCTGCCAGCTTCAACCCCCTTTTCTCCGCAGACCTGGAGGGGGTCGTGGAGGCCGTGGCCTGTTTTGCCTACACGGGCCGCACAGCCCAGGAGCTAAGCTTTCAGCGTGGGGACGTGCTGCGGCTGCACGAGCGGGCCTCGGGCGACTGGTGGCGGGGCGAGTGTGCGGGCGCCCGGGGACTCATCCCACACAAGTACATCACGCTGCCCGGGAGGTGAGTGAGTCCCAGCTTCCCTAGGCTTGGGGCAGCCCAGACCACTTCGGTCCAGCCCTGAGAGCCCGCCGGCCCCCAGAGCCTGCCCCAGGAATGAGCACTTTTTGCGGGTCGTCTCTCTGACCCTAGTGCAGAGAAGCACACGGTGGCCCAGGGGCCGCAGGCTGCGGGGGAGCTGGTGAGCAGTCCAGAGGTCCTCCTGGCCATGGAGTTCAGCCATCGGTGAGCGAGGGAAGGAGGGTTCCTTGGGAAGACTCATTTTGGTGGCCCCACTCACCCACCTTGCCCTGAGCACTGCCATTGGGGGAGCCAACCCTGTGCCAGGCAAAGGTGTGGGGTCAAGTCAGAAGGGGCTGGGGTCTGGCTTAGGCCACGTGGAGAGGGTCTCGGCTGGGGAACAGTTGTCCATGAGGGACACCAAAGGACAGAATGGATCCACTGGGCCAGCCTCGCTGTTCCTCCTCCCTTGGCCATGCCCTGTCTGTACCCTGCAGGCCAGAGCCATGCACCCCACCCGAGGCCCCACTGGGCACCTCCGGGGGGCCCTCTGGGCATAGACGGCACTGTTTGGTCCCTACCTCCCCGGAGCGATATGTGGAGGTAGACAAGGTGAGAGCCAGGAGTGGGTGTGTGGCAGATAGTGGGGGTGGGGGGTACCTCTCCTGGGGGGGGTCTTTACCTCCCCCTTAGGAACCAAACTCTTTCTTCCCGAGTTTTAAGTCTGCCCTTCCTGGCCTCAGACCAGCTGGTGGGGCCCAGCCCGGGGAGGGACAGGCCGGCAGGGGTGTGAGCCCAGAGGGAAGGATGATCCCCAAAGCAGAGTGGAGGGGGACCTGGGGGCTCATTCGGTTCTTGAGCAGGAAGTGGCAAGCAGGAGTCCCAGGCAGGCATGGCATCTGGAGCCAGGGTAGGTGACCAGTAGTGGCCTAGCAGGCACTTGGTGGCTAAGGAGGACAGAAGGGACAGATTGAGGAGATGGACAGATGGAGCGGATAGCTGGCGAGGGAGAGAATGGGTGCTGGATATGGCCCCAGCTGGGGGGCAGCCTAGGGAGACCCGGCTCTCTGCTTTCATGGGCCTAGCACGTGTGCTTCCGGGCTCCCAGTGAGTGGAAGCCCTCAGGATAGCGGGGACTGGAGGAAAGAGCCCAAGAGCATGAGGTGTGCTGGCTGTGGCCCAGTGGCCCGGCCTAGGAGTCAGGGGACCAGGGGCTGACCTAGGCCACACGGACTCTCATGCCAGGGAAGCAGGAGTCTGGTGGTAGGTGGGGTAGGGGAGGGGGAGGGCAGGCAGACGGCAGGCAGGGCCGGGTGGGTTGCAGGGGGACACTCACCTGAGAGGCTCCAGCACACTGGTGGTCCCTGGGGCCAAGGTGTGGCTGTGATCCCAGCCATGGTGAGAGTAGGTATGAGAAGAGGGGGGGATGTGTTGCTGTCCCCAGAGGAGGCTGTGATAGTAACACCAAGAGTGGCAGGAGGGAAACCGGACAGGGAAGGAGGGGCAGCAGCTTTGGGGCCAACGGAGAGGAGGGGTGTGGTGACAGGAAGGTGGTCAAGGGCTTTGTTTTCGGAATGAGAAAGAGTTCGAGTGGACGCTTGGGCGGCAGAGGGAGGAAGGCCCCCCACTCCTGGCTCAGGGGGGCGAGCCCCTGACCAGGGATGGGAGAAAGAGCTGGCTAGTTGGGGGAGGCTCTCACCAGATGCCCTCCCTCTCTCTTCTCCCCTTTAGGCCGTGGCCCAGACCATGGACTCCGTGTTTAAGGAGCTCTTGGGAAAGACCTCCGCCCGCCAAGGGCTTGGGCCAGCGTCCACCTGCTCCCCTGGCCCCGGGCCCTGCAGCCTGAAGCCTCCAGCCTGCGGCCGCCTCGGCAAAAACAAAGGCCTCTCCCGGGGCTCCGGGGTCCTGGCGTCACCCTCGGCATCCTGTCCCCAGAGCCCGGACTCGCCCCTTAAGCACTGAGGTGCTGCCAGCTTCTCCCCGGCCCCGTGCAGCCAGCGCTGGGGCTCCTGCCCTTGGCCCTCCGGCCCTTCGCAGAGGAGGGTCCATCTGTCCAGAGGCGGCCCCGCCTGCTCCAGCCCCGGCTTGGGCCCCTGGGGAGGCCAAGAAGGGAGGAGGCTGGGGCGGGCCCCTCCGTGGCTGATCGGTGACGGCTTGTCGGTGAGCTGGGTGGTAGGCGCCGGGGCCTGCGTCTGCCTCGCTGAGAGTGCAGTGCCTGAGAGTGCAGTGCCGGTGGGAGCTGGCAGGCGGCGGCTGCCGTTCATAAAGGCCTGTGCGCTGACTCCCCACTCGAGCCGGTTCTCTGTCTCGGCGCCGGCGCCGGGGTGGGAGCTGGGCGGCCAGCAGCAGGCGGCGGGCGCTCAGCAAAGGCAGCAGCTTGGGCAGCTGCAGCAGCTTCTACCGGGGGCCTCTCAGCACAGACTTGTCCGGGCCAGGGCATGGCATCGTGGGGTGACCCGCACACCAGGTCCTGTGTCTGGTGGGGGGAGTCTTTCCACGCTGCCTCACAGCCAACGTTACTCTGACCCAAGGAGACTCACCGGTGCGAAAAGAGCTGGAACATTTATTGGGGAGCAAGTGAGAGGGGAGGGCTGAGGGGAGCTAGAGAGGCTGGGAAGAGGGGAGCGGTGGGGGGAGAGGAAGGTCCTCCGGCCCCGACCCCTTTCCTTCCTGGGGGTGGGGGGGCCCTGGGACCTCCATCTCAGGGGCGGTCCCCTGCTGGGGTGGAACCCCGCTGCTGCCCCACACCCGGCATTCCCAGGGCCAGCCCCAGGTGGGCAGGGGGGTTTCACAGAGCCTCTAGAAGGAAGGTGCCCCCTGACTTCTCAGGAGGAAGTGTCCTTGGCCAGGAAGGAGCTGGCAGTGGCGCAGGACTCCTCCTGGGGCCCTGGGCTGGGTGGGGCCCTACTCCGGGACCCGCAGAGCAGGCTCCGCAGCTCCGAGGAGACGCTGCTGCTGAAGAAGGCGTAGATCCAGGGGTTGGTGCAGCTGTTCAGGCTGGCCAACAACATCAGCAGCACGAAGGGGGCCTCTGTGGGGGGTGGGAGAGTCCAGGCTGGGACTGAGGGTGCCCTAGCGGAGGTGTGGCGACCCTGCCTGCTCACGGGGGAAGAGTGATCCGCGTGAGCCCGCGGGTGCTTCCGAGCCCAAGGCCCGCAGTGTCCGAGGGGGCGCGGGTGCCTCTGCGGCCAGGCCTGAGCCGTCCCCCACAGTCCTAGCCGTGGCTACACCCACCTTCCACGGGCGCCTGCGGGTCCCACGCTGCCCACAGCTGCACGAGGAAGAAAGGCGCCCAGCACAGCACGTACACGATCACAATCACCAGCGTCATCCGCACGGTCTTGGCCATGGCTGCTGACACCCGGGCCCCCTCGCTGGGACTGCCTTCCCGGTGCCCTCCCCGGCAAGCCCCGGCCCTCTCTGCTGGCCCCAGCAGCAGGCTCGCATGGATCTCACGGAAGATGAGCACCTGGCAGGCAGCGATGCCCAGGGCCGGGGCCACGAACACCATCAGAGCGATCCAGGTGACATAGGCTCGGAGGCCCCAGGGCTCCACAAAGTGGGCCCAGCAGTCATGGACCCCGCTGCCGTTACCCACGTCACGCTGGGCAAAGATGAAAAGCTGGGGCAGGCTGAGAATGAGCGAGAAGGCCCAGGCCACCAGCACCGGCCGGTTCCAGTGAGTACCACCTCCATGGCGGTAGGCCAACATGGGGCGGCAGATGGCACGGTGGCGGTCCAGCGTCATGGCCAGGATCATGTAGGACGAGGCATACATGCCCACCATCTGCAGGTACTTGACGGCCCGGCACAGGGCATCTGGCCCACGGAAGCGGTCCGTGGCATCCCATACCAGCTGGGGCAGTACTTGGAACAGAGCCACGGCCAGGTCGGCCAGGCACAAGTGGCCGATGAAGACATGCATGGGTGCCCAGCGACCCCGCCGGCCCCGGCGTGCTAGGACCCCCAGCACCAAGCCGTTGCTCAGGGCCACAGCCACGAAGACTGTGGAGAGCAGGGCAAGCTCCGCCTGGGCGAGCAGCAGGTTCCGCGTGTCCAGCAGCCCCTCGCTGCCGTTGCCAGGTGGAACAGGGGCAGAGAGGGTCCAGGGCACAGCTGGGCAAGGGGTGGAGGAAGAGGGCCGAATTAGGGGGTGTGCTGCACGGGGAGCCCTGGGCCCAAGGACATTCCAGCTGGTCAGGCAGAGCCAGGGGCTCGAGCGGCCATCAGCCTGGGCCTTCTGCTTCTCTCCGGCCTCCCACTTCCGGACTCCCAGCAGATGCCATTCCCGCCTCATGTGGTAGGGAGGGAGGGGCAGCCCCAGCCCCCAGGGAGCCTAGAGAGGAGGGGGGAGGGGTCCCAGAAAGAGGGGCTTCTCTGCTTCATCCAACCCCACTCAGCCTGCCTGGCTCATGCGGATGGAGGGGTGGGTGGGCGGATGGGTGGGGGCCCAGGGGCAGGAACCTTACCAGAGGTGGTGGACGCCGTGGGCATGATGGGGCCAGGGCAGGTGTCTCTATCGCCTGGAGGAAACATGGTATTGAGCTCAGCCTCCCGTCAGAGGGGTCAGCTGCGTTCTGTGTCTAGACAGGGGCCCCGAGAAGGGTCAGGTGACAGGGTACCTGTGTACGTGTGCGCGCGCGCTCCAGCAGTGGGGACGTGGGGCTGCAGCCCTAGCCAGATCCAGGTTGGTGACGCCTGACCACACTGAGTCAGCCACAGGCTCCCGGGCCCACTGTGCTCCCCCCGTACCAAGCCGGCTAAGACAGATGGACGAACGCATCCCAGGACCCACCCGGGCAGCCCGCAGGATCTGAGGCAGCCGGACAGACACCCCTTCCCCCCACACACCCTGAGGGAGTCCGGGAGAGGCGGCCGTGGGAGGGCAGGGGCTGGACAGGAGAGGCCAGCTTGTCCCTGGGACCCCTCGAAGCCCCTTACCTGGCTGGGCTCTCTGGGCTCCGGGCAGCTGGGCACTGGCCGGCGCGAAGGTGGCCCAGGAGCTCAGATCTGCTCTCCATCTCCTGCCCCGCCCCAGCCCGGCCTCTGGGAGTGACCTGCCCAGGAGGGGACTTCCTCTCCCTCCCCTCCCCCACGTGCCTCTCCTGGCCTCCTGCCTGTGGCACGGGGAAGTAGGCTCCTGGCCTCCTGTGCAGCCCTTCCTGTCCTGGCCCTCCCAGGTCTGTCCACGGGACTCCTTTCCCCCCACTCCTGAGGACCTGAGCCCTCCTAGGTGGGTCCCCAGCTTGGTCTGGGTGTGACCATCAAGCGGGCTCTACCCCTCCCCCCGACCCGGGCCTGCGCCTGCACCCACAGGGCCCACGCCTCCGCCCACAGGGCCCACCTCCCTCGGAAGATCAGGTCCAGCAGGACTCTGGGAGATCAGTTAGCTCAGCGGCTCCATTTTATAAGTGGGGAAACTGAGGTCAGAGATGGGTGGGGCTGACTGAAGGGCACCCCGCTTTTTCATGGCACAGCTTGACTCCTTTCTCACGCCAGGTTCTCTCTGACGTACCCGCCCGTCCTCAATTAGGGCCTCCGGAGATGAAGGACAGGAAGGGAGGGGGTGGGGCGGGTTCTAGCCGGGGCTTCTGCGCCCCAAGCGAGCCAGCTTCCTCCCCACCCTCTTCCTCTTCCCCCCACCTGCAGCTACCTGTCCTAGGGGGAGGGGGCAGCTTCAGATCTCTGTCTCTCTGTCTCTGTCTGTTCCTGTCTCTCACACACACACACACATGCACGCAACAGCCTCTGAGGCTGGGGCTTCCCCTCCAGGCGCTGGGCTCTTGCTCCTTCCTCTCCTCAGCGCCTGGCACCCCCAGCCCCTCCAGTCCATCCTTTCTGCCCTGTCCCAGGAGCCCTCTTTCCAGTCCTCTCCTGCTCTTGCTACAAATCCCGGCCCTCCTCAGCCGAGGTCCACACAGCCCAGCCCAAGGCAGCGGCCTGCACGTCTCCTAGGGCCAGGCTCCAGGCCCAGCTGGCTCTGTTTTCCTGTTTGTCCGTCTTCTCTGATGACCTGCAAGGCTAAAGGCCAAAATGGCTTCACACTGACCAGGCACAAATATAGACCCAACTAAGGCCTCCCTTTCCTGGCCAGAGAGCCTGGTGGGGGTGGGGGGTGGGGAGGGCTGGACCCTATGGGCACAGGTTGCAGAATGCTGACACCCCATGTCAGACCCCTTCAGCCCCACCCCCTAAGAACAGGAACATTCTCACTTTCTTCCCTGTAACCGCACTGCCGTTATTAACCCAGAAGCCTACAAACAACTTTTCTACTGCTGTCCAGATCGACAAAAATGATAGCGAGAGTTCTGGGCAGGATGCTAGAACAGATTTTTCATAGGAGAGCTATGAGCCAATGGTAAAAGGTCACATCACACCCAGCATCCTCTGTCATGCCCATCTGCCCTGTGCCGGGGCCTCGCCTCACAGGTGGGATGGGATCTCCCTCATCTGCACAGGAGACCCAGATGCCTTGCCCTCTAGGGCTGTGCACCCTTGTGCACACTCTGCGCAGCAATTCAGGCCTCAGCTTCTGTCTCTGTAAAATGGGAAGCCAACCCCTGAAGGCTGACGATGGTGACAGGAGGGGCAAAGACCCGAAGCCCATGAAAGGGTCTACCTTCTCTGCCCACAGGGCCTAGCAGGCCGCCCTCCCGCCAGCCGAACCCTGAGGCCACTTTCCTCGCCCTCTCTGCTCCCTGTGCTCCATGTTTCCTGTCGTTGAACCCGGGGTAAAGATCTTGGGGAAGTCCTCTCCTCTCCCCAGTGGTTCTCTCCTGGCTCCAAGAGGCAACGGGTATGTGTCCACATCCAGACCAGATGTTAAAGGGAGACCGGGCACACGGCTTGCCCCTGCTAGCCAGAACAGATGCTGGGGAACTTCAGGAGGAGCTGAGAAGCCACCAAAGCCCGAGGGCATGCCAGAGAGAGTCTGGATCCTTCGCCGAGAGCTCCTAAGGCTGGGGAGCTCGTGGCACAGGTGCAGGTGCCACATGGGCACTGGGCTGGTGGAGACACTGGACCAGGCTGGCTGAGTGCCCCCTCCTGCAGCCAGGGGCTGATCAGAGGCGACAGGCCCCAGGCAAGCCCCTGCCCCAGCGCCGCCCCCCTCATGGACTGAGAGCAGGGCACTGACCTGGGGGCCACTTGTCCCTGAGACAGGAAGGCAGGCAGGGACTGTGGAGGGGAGACAGGAGGGATCCCTGAGAGGTGTTTGGGTGTGGCACTCACCCCGGGGAGCGCTGAGAAGCTGGTTGTGAAAGGATGGAGAAGGGCTTGGTCACGGGGTGGGCCAGTTGGCCTCAGTGGGCCTCAGTCCCGGGGGCAGGACTGAGCAGACACCCCCTCCCCCCACCATGCCTCCAGGATTCCATTTGCAGAAAGGACTCTTTGGGTAGCCAAGGTGTGAGCCTGTGTGTCCCATAGCCCAGTGTCTGAGTAGGAGAGGACAGAAGGCCTCAGGCCAGGGCACTGGGCCTCCCAGTCGCCAGCCACCAGGGCAGGGGACCAGAGCTGGCAGAACACTTTGCTCGACAAATGGCCCATGCTGAGGGCCCTGTGGCCTGTGTGCAGAGGTGGAAGGACCCGGGCCCTGCCCCAAGGACTGCAGGGTCATGTGCCACTCCAGCTGAGAGGGCTGGATGCGGGGCAGCCACCACCCAGGGGAGAAATGGTGGGACCCTGTTAGCACGTTAATGGATCAGAAACGAAAGACATTTCTCAGGCCCTGAATAAACCCTTGAAGGAGCTTTCAGGGATGAGAGAGGAAGAGGAGGCAGCGCACCCCATCGAGAAGGAGCGATGGAGCCAGGAGGAGAGATGGGCACAGCTTCATTGCCCACGGCCAGGCTGGCACAGCAGCCCGAGCGTGCACTCACACCAGCTGGACCGACAGGCGAGGAGCGGGCTTGGGGGGAGCCCGACGGCAACCAGGCACCTCCGAGAGCCTCCAATGGCACGAGGGAGCCCTGGGGCAGACGTTGGGACCCAATGGGGCAAAAACGCATTTAATAAAAACACGTGGGACATGCATGGCTCGAGGGTAAGAGCAAGACACGGTGTCCACTCACCTGAGGTCCAAATTCAAGGGAACAATAGTTTTCAAAGTTAGACAAAGCCTGCTTGCCCGTTTTGGGAGGAAGGAGAGTGGTGCGTAGATTAGGAGCCCCGAAGGTGGGGAGGGGCAGGGTCCCCAGCAGGCAGGGGCTGGGAGCACCCCTCTTCTGGGCTGACGACCTTGGAGGGAGCAGAGGGCAGCTGGAGCCTGGCAACCACGATCTTTCTATTGTTATAAATTTGTCTTTTCTAGAATTTTATATAAATAGAATTGTAGAGTATGTAGTATCTCATGCCTGGGCCCATCTGTTGTATGTGTTAGGACTTTGCTCCTCTTTTGTGCCAAGTGGGGCTCTGCTGGCTGGGCCGCAGAGGATCGGCTCCACTGCTAGGTGGTGAACATGGGGCTATTGCCAGTTTGAAGCTGTCACGTACAGTGCGCAGGACCCCGTTCCTCCGGAGGACGCCCTCGGCGCTGAGAACCTGCGGGCCTACTGCTCCGCCTCTGTGCGGGCCGCTGCCTCTGTAGTCTGAACTGTTTCAGCAATATTTTACTGGGGTCTTATCTGGCATTTTCCTTGTGATGGATGATGGTCAGAACCTTCTCACGTATTTATTTGTCACTTTCTTAAATTAAAATTTTTTTTTTTTTTACTTGACAGAGAGAGAGATCCCAAGTAGGCAGAGAGGCAGGCAGAGAGAGAGGGAGAAGCAGGCTCCCTGCCAAGCAGAGAGCCCAAGAGTCTGATGCGGGGCTCGATCCCAGGACCCTGGGATCATGATCTGAGCCAAAGGCAGAGGCTTAACCCACTGAGCCAGCCAGGCGCCCCTAGTTGTCATTTTCATAACATTCTTTTTGTCAAGTCTTTTGTCAACTTTTAAAAGTTTTCCCCATTACTGAGTTGTGAGAGTTTTTTTCACTTTTAATATATTTTGGATACTTCTTCGAAAGCTCTGTGTCGCAAATATTTTCCCCAGTATGTGGTTTGCGTTTTCAACGTGGGGCTCGAACTCACCAGCCTGAGATCCAGAGTCATGTGTTCTGCCAACCAGGCACCCGTAACAATCCCTGTTAAAAAGCAAACTTTTGGGGCACCTGGCAGTGCAGTAGAGTATATGACGCTTGATCTTAGGATTGTCAGTTTAAGCCTCACACTGGATGTACAGATTACATGAAAAACATTAAAAAATAAAATTTGGGGGTGCGCCTGGGTGGCTCAGTGGGTTAAGCATCTGCCTTCGACTCAGGTCATGATCCCGGGGTCCTAGGATCGAGCCCCGCTTCGAACTCCCTGCTCAGCGGGGAGCCTGCTTCTCCCTCTCCCACTGCCCCTGCTTGTGTTCCCTCTCTCGCTGTGTCTCTCTCTGCCAAATAAATAAAACCTTTAAAAAAGAGATATTCTCCTATGATTTATTCTGCAAGGTTTATATTTCTAGCTCTAACATTTAGGCCTGTGATTAATTTCAACTTAAAATTTTTTAAAGATTTTATTTATTTATTTATTTATTTGAGAGACAGAGCGAGAGAACACAAGCAAGGAGATAATCAGAGGGAGGGGGAGAAGCACACTCCCCACTGAGCAGGGACCCTGACTCGGGCCTCGATCCCAGGACCCCGGGATCATGACCCAAGCCAAAGGCAGACATTTAACTGACTGAGCCCCAAGAGGTACCCTAACCTCAAGTTAAATTTTGTGTGTGTTATAGGTTAAAAGTTTAGGTTCATTCTTTTGCATGTGGATATCCAGTTGTCCCCACACCATGTAGTCAAACAACTGTCCTTTCCTCACTGAATTACTTTGGCAACTTTGCCACAAATGGGTCACATGTGCGGGTCTGTTTCTGGACTCTGACTTCTGTTCCGTTGATCTGTACACCTGTCCTTATACCAGTGTTACACTGTCTCGATTACTATAGATTTATAGTAAGTCTGAAATGAGATAGTATAACTTCTTCAACTTTGTTCTTTCTCAAAATCATTTTGGTTAGTCTAGGTAATCTGCATTTTCATGTAAAACTTAAAATCAGCTTGTTAGTTTCTATCGAAGGAAAAAAAATCCTGCCAGGATTTTAAAGATTTCTATTTATTTTAGAGAGG